TCATTTCTGCGGCTTATTGAATGTATTTAATGTTTCACTAATGTTTAAATACTGTCGTCAGTTATTATAATTTCCGGATTATTGTATATTATGTAATTTTACATTAGATGTACGATTTGACGCACAGAGTTGAGGAATAAAGTTTCTTTTAAAATTAATCACTCCATTTTAAGACACCGAACAATTGTAGTAACCGTAAAAAAAATTATGATTTCTTAGGTCATATTTGGATCTGTATATTTATATGTTTAAAAAGCGTAAAGTAAACAATTTTTTCATATCGTGATTTGAAAACTTTTTAAATTTTCATTTTTATTTTTGTTGAAAACAAGACAGGTCTTTCAAATATACCTAATATTTTTAATAGAGATTATTGTTTTTTTCTTTTATAAAATACATGCAAAAGTAACATCGGTAACATTGTATCGGAGTGTGCGTGTGATGTATACAGATGCATCTGTAAGATTTCTACCGAGAATAGAAAATTTCGGAGATGCGCGTATACATAAGCGTTATTTACTTTTCTTATTTCTTTTCTTCGAGTACTTATATTTTCTTCTCCTTTTTGCATGTTTGCTGTCGTATACACATAATCTCTCTTGCCCTATCATAAATGTTTTCTTAATCTAAATTATCTTTCACCTAAGATCCCGTGTGAGCGTGTATCTGCAAGATGTGGTGGCTCTGGAAACCATGCAGCGTTTTACAAAGTGCGCAAAAATGATATATACACGCCGTGTAGATCTATAAAAAAAAAAAAGAAGAGTTAAAATATTAGTGTGAATCTATGATAGAGTATGAACTTCAGAGCTTGACCATCTTATTTTCTGCGCGCAAGGTCGAGAAACTTCAAAACTAAATTTAAAAAAAACCAATGGTAAAAGGAACTATTTAACTTTTAATTGCTGTTTCTCCGATATATTATCTAAACATTTTTATTGAATATTTTGCTTATCTCTTTACCCTTATTCGACATATGTATATTTTGAACAAGTGTTTTGTTTCTGAATAATTATTCACGATCTTGTACTTTGTATTGTGTAATTAATATAGTTGCAATTTACGAAGAAATAGATCCGAAACGTAAATAAAATGGGGTGCACTTAATTGCCTTAATGCAGGATGCCTGAAAAATTAATGGGAGGAATCGACAACCCTCTTTGAGAAGCGGATGTGCCTGCATTGCGAAAGTCTGCGCATGATATGCCGTGATGAAGTTAATACTGTACTGAGCTAATCTTAATAAACGTATGCGTATATAAAATTATGAAATTGCGGATATTTGAGCGAATTTATTGCACTGTTGTACATTATGAACCGACTACAAATCAACGATGATTCATCGCCTAATCCGAGATCAATTTGTGTTTAGGAACGAAGCAAGACTCTAAAAATACAAGTCTAGTTTTTCAATTTTTGTCAATTTTCATCAGTTTCTGTAAATGATCAAAACTACATTTTTCTCTAATTTTAAATTTAAACGCGCGACTTTCTTTATTCGTTTACAAAAAATACGTTCCCCTTGTTTCCAAGTCACTGTCTCTTATTAAATTTCTCCTTTTCTTTTCATTCCAGATATATCTGCTTGTTATTCACGGTGCAGTATGCCATATTATTATTGGGAGATTATTTTTAAAAAATTCTACAGAGTAGGCTTTTTCAGATTAAAAATTATTAGTCTTTTTCAATTATTATCGATCGAGACTCGATTTATGAAAAGATTTTGAAATTTTATTCGTAGATTATGAAGCGAATTATATATAAGGGAAAGAATTCAGGGGAGTTGCAAGTAAATATCTCACGATTGTAATAAATGCATTTCAAGCAGAACGAAATCACAGTAACATCTTTGTAGTCCATTAAAGAAAGAGAGAGCGTACGACATTTCCCTTCCTCATTTCATTTTTCATTGGATATAAAATTTTCTTCTTTTCCCTACACACATAAAATGTTTCGATTTATATTTACTACATTTTACGTACTGTTGTCTATCATATAAGTGAATTATACATATAATATACATAGATATAGATAAAAATGCACGAAAATTATAAGCGAAAAAGAGAGACAGATTTGCACGTGTTCATATACATGCTAATATTATACTATTTCCTGAATACGCGTCATGTAATATTTAATCACGTGCTGAAGCAAGTAATAACGCAGCCATAGGTAATAAAAATGTGTTGGAACTAAAAAGAAGAAAAAATAAGCAATGAAAGATTGAGCTTAAAAAGCAAACATTTTGGAAGAAAAAATATTTAAATCTTGATAATTTACTCTAATTGTATTACGCTTTTATTATAATACATTTTTTAATGTTAATCGGTAATTAATAATCTTAAGGTTTAGATTCGTTGCTCGTGACGCCCAATTGTAATATATTAGATAATTATCGATCATTTTAAAGAAGGAAATGTCGTCATAGCACGTGTATATGTCAAGTGAAGATCAAATGAAACCGGTCTCGTTCACAACAATTATTATGTTCTACGAAGATATAAAAATGTTTATTCTTATGTACGTAAATGTCTTCTTAAAATCAACTCATTAAATGATTTGTTTGACAGTGGCTACACGTTTACACCGTGCATTTAGGCCGCGGCCTATACAATAGATATCCTTGTTCATCCTGTAGGTTAAACATCAAAGACACCTATCGTATAGGTTGCGGACTATAAGCGCACGGTGTAATTATACAGCCACTATCTATATCACACGCGTTTCTATATCAAAAATGAAAGAAGACACAGTTATATCTTCCTTATATTTTTGTCTTCTTTCAATTTAGGTAATTTTCTTGCTTATTTAACTATAGTGACTTTACAAATAATTAGCGAATATTACACACGGCATGTCTGTACGAAATGTTGGGAGCAGAAATAATGTACATAAAATATATAAACGAGTAATTTTTCACGTGAACGATCGCGTGTTAAAACAATGGTGATGCGATCGATATTCGAAAAAAGGATCGAAGATCCATCGATTGTCGTGGATTGCGATGCGTCATTCGAATTCGTTGTGATGCGATCACACTTTTATAAACGGAAGAACAGGGAACGATTTTGCAAAGAGAAAAGTCGATCAATTTATCGAGTCTTTGCGTTATAGCTGTATATTTTATCCCGCTTTAAAAGATCTCGTTCAGCTCTTCAGGTATAAGGAGGTTTAACGAGAGGTGTAATTGTAAGAGATAGATCTATCCATTTTCAGCCGGACAGGCTCGTGATCAAGAGCGATCAGGTACTTGGACACGAACTATATGTAGATATATGAAATTCTCAAGTTCTTAAATTTTAAAACCTTCGTCGAACTTTCACTCTCGTAGATTTTTCTTAATCTTCACATTGAAGAAAGTCCTTTCGTTGGCCGATATTTATAGTTTTTCGATTCCTATATTTAAAACTGTCTTCAATATAGTTTTAAAATGTCATAAATAAAGCTAATCCTATAGGCCGGTATTCATAATCGATTCTTATATTTAAGACCGTCCTAAGATAGCCTTAAAATAAGTCATAAGAACGGATTATAAATACCGGCCGCTACTGAATGAATTAACATCTTAAAACATACTTAAGACGGTCTTAAAAAATACAGTCTGTGAATACCGGCTATTGTCCTCGTATCATCTATTTCGTTGTAATTATACATAAATGTATCATAAATCGAAATTCTAATATAAGTACGTATATATAATAAAATATCTGACAAAAGGCGTCGATTTTTTTTAATAATTCACGACTCTCGTTCACGATTTGGTCCCGCCGCTGTTGATTGATTAAGTGCGAAGATTGATGTATTTTCGACGAATTCGATTTCTAATTATGAAAAGGAATTTTTAGTAGAGTTATTGTCCTTAAAAATATAAAAAGAACTTTTAGGAATTTTAAACTCAGAAAAAATTATGCTAATTCTAATTTTAATTAAAATCCATTGCAGTTAAGAGTTTCAATTTCCGATTAATTTGAATAGTAGGTACTGTTTCTCTTCACGAGCCATAGTCAAGCGATGTACATGAAAAAGGAAGAATCTAAGAAGTTACACAAAAGCCGTATATAGATTAAATAGATGGTAGAAAGGAAAGAGAATATGTTGAAGATCCTCTATAAGAAGTTGCTCTGATCTCCAAGGAAAATTCTAAGTAAAACAGTATAAATATAATAAAGAGGACAAAGAGTCAAGTAAATTAACGACCAATTTAATTTAAACAATCATACAAACATATAATAGAAAATAAACTACGTTATTATATATGTATATATAATATATACATATATTGCATCTCCAAGGTCTAGCTGTTTTTTGTTCCTGCACTGTCTGAAGTTCAGACTCTGAACTAGTGCACACGGTGCAATAAGTTAAAATACTTTAATTTCCACCAATAAAGATTAACTTTAATCTTACTGTTTAATTTTTAGAACTAGAAAAAGACAAAGAGTAAATTGATCCGAGATTAATCTGCATTGGTGGAAATGGACATTAACTGTCGTGGAGCAGATCTGTGAGCGATTGCTTCTATTGGACGATCTAAAAGAATATATCAAGAGCAATGAGCATTCACTATCGACATACAGAATGGACCGCTGATGGTAGTGGTGGGGGTAAAAAGACGAGTAGAGTGAGAGGCAGAAATAATATGATCGTTCTTTTTCTGTTTACTGATAACTACTGATTACTATTGGTCGCTGTTAATCCAACAACCAATCAGGCTTCAGTAAACAGAGAAAGAACGATCATATTATATTCATATTATTTCTGCCTCTCACTCTACTCGTCTTTCTACCCCCACTACCATCAGCGGTCCATTCTATTCATGTCGATGGCATTCACGTGGCATTCACGGATCCACTAACCGCTTCGCAACAGTTGTGAGTCTGCTGAATGCGACCAATGAAACAAACGTATATTTGTTTCACTTCAATTTATTGCACTGTGTGTACTAGTTCAGAGGTTCAGACAGTGCAGGAACAGAAAACAATTTATGATCTTATGATTCGTTCGTTTGTTCGAATAGTTAGGTCGCTCCACAGTTCTTCAGGAAAATTAAGAATGGATTCACTTGAGAATGCTAAGAAAAATGCGGCTTACAAAGCTGTTGACGAATACGTCCAAGTAAGTTGATTTATTTTAATAATTGTGCGATCGATCGTACAATGTTTCTCGTGAAGGTTATAATACATTCCGGTATATTGTTTTTCAGAATAATTGTGCTATCGGGATTGGCAGCGGATCCACTATAGTTTATGCTGTTCAACGACTTGGTAATAGGCATATTTAATATTTAGATATTTCATGTTTGAAAATAATTTCATTAAAAATTCGTACTTCAAGTAATACAATTCAATTAGTTATTTTGGTACTGACTTAATATTTTTATTTTTTTAAAATAAGATAAAACCATTTCTATTACATTATTCTTATAGATTTTTGGTAAATGTCCTGTCTATTTGAAGTACATGTATATGAAAAACACTGAGACATTTCTTTTGTAATACGTCATAAATTCAATTGTTATACTGAGTATTGCAACATTGTTGATAGAGAATTATTTCCTTGATTAATGTTTTTAACATTCTCTAAAAGATATTTTATACAGTATATTTTGAGGTATTTTATGCATTATTCTTTGAATGATTTTAATAAGGTACATATATAACCACATTTTGATTTAATCTTGCAATTTATATGAATAATGTCTCTTATAAATGTTGTATTTTTAGCTGAACGTGTTATACAAGAAGAACTTAATGTAATCTGTGTTCCTACATCGTTTCAATCTCGTCAACTTATATTAGATAATCATCTTACTTTAGGCAACTTAGAAACTCATCCACATGTAATTTTTAAATATTTTTTCTCTATATTATATATTTCTTATTATATATTTTTATTAACTATTTAATATTGGTGTAGCTGTATTCTGCAATTGATGGAGCAGATGAAGTCGATAAAGATCTGAATCTCATTAAAGGTGGTGGAGGATGCTTATTACAAGAAAAAGTTGTTGCTTCCTGTACCAATCGATTTGTTATCATAGCAGATTATACGTAAGTACTTATTGCATCTAATAATATTGTTCTTTGTATAATCAATTAGTGTGTTATTGTATATTAAATATAAAACTTATGATACAAAGATTGCATATTTTATTCTTACACTTCTTCTTATATTTCAGAAAAAATTCAGTAAAGCTTGGCGACAAGTATAAAAAAGGAATTCCTATTGAAGTGGTTCCTATGGCGTATATGCCAGTTAAACTTAAAATTGAAGATAATTATGGAGGAACTGCGAAAATTAGAATGGCTGTTGCTAAAGCTGTAAATATAATTTTATTATCTAGATTCTCTAGTTACTGTCACAAATAAAATTAAAAGTAATATAAATAAGTCAAAATAACATATAGTATACAATTTTTGTTACTTGTGCAGGGTCCAGTAATAACAGATAATGGTAATTTTATTTTGGATTGGCACTTTCCTGATATTGATTCAAATTCTTGGAGAAAGATTAACATGGAATTATCTCTGATACCTGGAGTTGTAGAAACTGGTTTATTTACTGATATGGCTGAGACAGTTTTTTTTGGTATGCCAGATGGCACTGTACAGGAACGAAGTGTACACAACTGAACGAAACTTATTTGGATGAAATATTAGTTGCTTTCCATTTACACACAAGTGAAACTGAGTCTGAAGTGAGCTGAGTATGAAATATTCAGATTAATGACGTCACTACTTGCTTATTTTGGTAAAATTAACAAGTAACAGGTTTATAATGTCACTTTTAAAGTGAGTCTACGAGACTCAATAAAGCACACGGTCTCGATCTTGTGCAGTTTGCAGGTAAAAACTCAGTTGAATCTCACTTCTCAGAATACAAAAGGAACGCGCATTCAACTGAGTTATGACATCACAAGTGAGAATTATCTGAGAATCGGAGTAAATGGAAAGCAATTATTGAATGCATGTTAATGGACCAATTTTATTACATTTTATCCTTATTGAATAACGATTTCAATAACGTTCTGATATTTGTTAAATCGTAATTCTTGATAACTTTTTTTTTTGTAATCTTATAAATATAGTTTATGCTATATTGCCGTTCCAATTGCGTTATCGCTTTTTTCATACATTTTTTATGTTTCTATCTGTTATGTATGCAATTTGTATCTGATCTTGTGTTTTCTTTATTATTATATAAACTTGTTATTGCATTCACTTGAAGTATATATACTTCATATTTTAGGGATAAATTATATACTTTTTAAAAATATATTTTGTAAGTAAATAATAAGAGAATTTTTATATGTGATATGTACAATACTGTTATCTTGAAATATGCACAAAGTTATATGAATATAAGTTTGAAATATATATTTTTATACAATATTTGTATTTAATTTCTTACATATATTTATTTATAAATAAAAGAGAATTACTAAGTTGCATAAATAATAACCATACACAAATAATTTTATTTGGATATTATTAATTGCAAACGATATTTTTCTTATTATTTATGTACATTTAATTTCTTTTAGTATTGAAAAATGGTTTAAAAATACGTCAACTATATGTTCAATTTAAATTTATGCAATGAGAAAAATTATAAATTTAGAAAAAAATGTTAGTGTTGCTTGTTTAATTATTTTTGTTAGTACTTATATTAATTATTTTGTATGATTAAAAATTTGCATTTCGTACTGTAAAAAAAAAGCTCGCCCGAACAGGGACTCGAACCCTGGACCCTCAGATTAAAAGTCTGATGCTCTACCGACTGAGCTATCCGGGCGATCGAGGAATGTATAGATTAATATTGTACTGTATCTTACTCAATTGAAAATTTATATATATATATGTGTTATGAAAAATTTGATTAATTCGGGCATTATACATAAATAAAATGGCCGATCAATTTACTTGATGTCTAATCAAATTTTCTGTAACATGTGTATACATATGTATATTGTATGTACTTTGGAATGTAACAATTAATATTGTGTATTAGTAGATAAATATATAATGATGTTTATTAATAAAACATACTATTAAAAAATTTAATAGTATATATAATAAGTTTATATAATGGATAATGTGAGTTCTGTTTGTGTCTCTCAAAATAGAAAAAAAATTGATAATTTTGTAAAAGATTGATATATTCATTATTTTTTTTAATCAGCAATATGCTACCAAAATTTTAAAATTTTTATTCATATATAATTTTTAATACAACAACTAAGAATATAATTGAGTAAATGGTCCAAGTTTTTAAAAATTACATGTTAATATACATGATATTATTTTTATTTAAAGAAAACTTTTAAAAAAATAGACTTATTTAATTATACAATTGCCTATTATTACAATTTTGAGAGCCAAGTGCGTGTGGATTGTTTTCATATAAATTCTGAACTCTATAAACGTATCTACATTTTCTTTTATGTGAGAGACATATATGTATTTTGCCTCTCGTATATCTATATATTAGACAACTATGTGAAAGAGATAGCTATATAGTTATTTTGCATAAGACACATCTTTTATTCATAAGTGAACTATCATCCAGTAGCTATAAGCATTGATTTACTATCCCACGACGTTAATTTAATAGCGTTTATATATGTCGTAAAATTAAAAGACGTCTTCATTTAAATAGACTGGTGATTTTATCACATCGTTTATCACTCACCCACACAGTGTTTAATTACAATAATTACAAATATATCTTTTGATGACAGAAGCGTTTTTTGATCATTAAAAAATTAAGAAATATATTTATTGATATATATCTTTTTATTATTATAATTATTGTTTTAATTATTTGTGTGTGTGTGTGTGGTTATAGTTATCAAAATTTAGAAAAAACAATTTTTTCTCAAAAACGTTGCTTTAACAATAGTAAAAAAGAGACCTTTTCTAATTAAAATATATCTGCAGTCAATACCTATATTACACAGATGTAGTAAAATATATGTCTTGAAGCCTGTAAAAAAAAATGCGAAAAATTCGATTGCGTATTTCTTTTACTTTTTACGTATTAATTGTTAATAAATTTTAATAATATTTTTTTTTAAATCCGTTATTATTTGATTCGGATCATTATTCTTTGACCGCTAAAAAGATGTTATGGTTTTTTTACAATATATGTATATTACTAAGATACGCGTAAATAATTGTTTTTCCGAGTACGTTATTGTTTCGGCAATCTTGTCAAAAAGTTTGTCGGCGGTGAATGCGTCAAACAAAAGAAAAAGAGAAAAAAATATGACCAACCACTAGCCAACTAGGTTGAACGATCTAATCGTAACTCAGCGGGTTCTGATGTGAGAATGGTGTAAGTACTTAACTCCGGCTGTTTCTTTCTATGATTTTTACATGGGAACTTATCGGCTATACTTCGTTTTCTGGCATCGATTTAATCAACATTAATCCTTAGTTTCGATACTTTTTGACTTCTTGCATAGTCCAGACTCTCGTTTATTGCGTTTAAGTACGCGATAAATCATATATCCATGGTATATAGAGCGCCAGAAGCAGTATCGCTACTCGTATTATTTACGTTATCTCTTATCTTCCACGTATACAGTTAAAAAACGAAACATTTTTATTATTTGTTATATATTGCGTATCAGATATATCTTTTATCTTTGCACTTACGACTGTTCGCAAAATGTTTTATTTGCACAATTTCTTATGCTAAATGGTTCAAATTTATATACATCTAATAATGAGATTAAAAATTAATTCGCTGTATATGTTTATAAATTTATGCTCAGAAAAACCCCATCAATATCAGTATTAAAATGTGTTATTAGAGAGAGAAAGAGAGAGAGAGAGACGTTATTGATTTTATGAAAATTTTATACTTACATTAATAAAAATTATGTATAAGGTAAAGAAATTAAATTAAGATTGCGTGTTGGCTAAATCAAAGACAGAAAATAATTTCGAGAAGAACAATATTTCAACAATATATGTAGAATTTTGTGATAGCAATGCGGCTTTGAAATAATAATTAAAATTAGATGATATTTCTTGAAATAGATATTGCGCCTTCTCACATACTGATGATCTCGAGGATCTATAGGTATACATGTGAATTTTTATTTCGTGTATGTATGCTTTCAAAGTGTAATAAAAATTTTTACGAGCTACACTACAATTTTTACATATCAATTAAATCGTCATAGTATTGCAACAGATTTAAAAATATCGTATATTGAATCGTTTTGAATTCTATAAACCAGTTAGTACAATATTGTAACGAAGTGCGAGAACGAGAATTCTCTCGCGAGCGGTACGCAATAAAATAGGAATGCGTTGTTACGTCAATATGCCATTCAGACCTCACCCCGTTAAACCCCGTGACCTAAGTATGACAACTTATGATCCGTGGATCTTAAGGGGCAACATGAGTTATTAAACCTGCATAAGATGCATATTTCGCCAGCAGTCACGGAATCGGAGTATGACTATATATAATCTATAGTAGGCAGTTATGCAAAAGTTGGAGCGTAATTGTACAAATGTGTCTCTTGACGAAGAGAAATAATTTAGTATCTTCCAGAAATAAATTTCATTGCCTATTTTTGTTTATACATGTGTAAAAATGTATTTTAAAAATATTCTATGCGAGAACATGATGACTGATAATTGAATGGTTGAAAATTTATACGATATAGTTTAAATTAAAAAATAAAGATTCAATTTGCTTGTATTAAGTTTAAAATGTCATATTAACAGATATAGGTAATGAGAGGAAACGAGGGAGGGAAAGAGAGGAGGAGAGAGAGAGAGAGAGAGAGAGAGAGGGTGGGAGGTAGGGAAAGAAGGAGGAAGAGCGAATTATGTTCTGATAATTTTAAAACTATTATTAATACAATAAACATTATAGATCAATGACAAACGCAAATATCAATAACAATTGTTAGAGATTCTCTTGATTAAATTTAAATAAAAATTATTTAACATAGTCTCTGTTCAAATTAACGTCATCAGTTTAAAATTTAATGTAAAGTATTTCTGAAATTATAATTATTTATAATAATTGTAATTCTCTAATAATAGCGGCTAATATAAAGATTGCAAGTAAAGTCGGAACCTGTTCTGTCTCTACGATACGTAATTGTTATAACCTTTTACCTTTTTAATAATAAGTTCGTAAACACTTGATATTTTGGCCTACTATTATTAAATTATATTTTTCTGGTTATTAACAAATTACGTATTTATTCATCTCTCATCTTTTTATTAAAAGTGAAACCACACACACAACAAATAAAAATCTTCGCGTGCCCACGCAGAAGTGTGTCATGTTAGCGAGATTTCCCTAGCGAAAATAATGTTTATTAAAAGTTTATAAGAAGCTTGCTTAAACATTGAGTAGATGTTTTATGAAATGGAAATTAAAACATGGAATTGTTCAAGAGATGTTCATAATTATGTTTTAAAAAATTACGCTTTGAAAACAGTGCTCCAAAATATCAACAAAACTCTTCATAAACAATCTTAAATAACGTATAACCATCGATAAAACTCTTCATAAACAATATAACCATCGATAAAACACTATACCTAAACAGGTATAAGCACTATGTTTCACTAAAAATTTTTGCCAGAGTTGACAATAAGAAAAAATGATTGTCTCAGAAAGGTTAAAACGGATGTGTAAATCGTACGAAATCGTAAGTGCGGAATGTGTGAGGAAAGGTTTTTTAGGGTGTAAAATATGATCGTCTCGCCCGCGCACTTGCAGTCATGCGTTCTCTATGCGCCTGCATCCATCCCGTCGTACTTATATCACAGAGGGGATTGGCGGGGATTGTATTTGAAGAGCGACCGCGCGATTTCACCCCTCAAACGAGAGGGAGAAGCCACGGCTTCAACCGCGCGCGTTTGTCCTTTGGCATACGTATCGCGTATCCCATATCGAGAGTTGATCGAGAACACAAGTAATATTTTGTCTTGAAGAGGTGCATCTTGAAGAAATCGGAATTCTACAAATCGCTCGAAAATATCACGATATGAAGGTTAGTCATGTACTTAATTTTTTACGTAACAATTTTATAAAATAGAAATTAGTTTATATACACGTAGGTTGATTTTAAACTTAAACGTATACACTTGCGAGAACGTACAGTGATCGAAATTGATTTTATTTAATGTGCAACGCTATACTTCTGGAATTGTAATGCTATACTCTTGATATATGTTTTTTTTTTAATATGTTAAGATAAACACTAAATTTAACGCATACTTATATGTTGATTTATAAAAGCATTGTGGAATATTTGATTACGTGCATAGTAGAATCATCACATTTTTTATTATAAAATAAGTAATTCTTTTATTGAAAAATTCTATCATTGAAAACTGTTTTATTGTTTGTTGTGTGCGTAATTTAAATCGTGCATTTATGAAGTATAACTAGGGTATTAGAACACTCTTTTATGTTTTGTATATTTTGTAATTTTTTTGTGATTATATATATATATAGATATACTAAAATTTAAATACCTGTAACACATTAAGAATATTTATATAAAGCATAATATATTTTACTATAATAATAATACAATATAATATAATACTAATGTATAAATTGAATGCTATAAATTTATCTAATAAATTTAAAGACTAATAAATAAATATAATGTAAGTAAATTTAAGTGCTAACAATAAGTTAATTGTTTATTAATCAAATATTATAAATCCAGTAGACGCGATTATATTGCTAATATATCATAACATAAAAGTCTAAAATGTGAATTAAATGTTTTATTTGTTATATAAATTATTATATACTATAAAATATTATATATTATAGTATATCAAAATTTATTTTTTATATAATTTGAAGAAAGTTGTATTTTAAGATTTAATTTCAGATCCATTCAGTAATACATTTAACTGTAAAATGTAAAAAATAACGGTATATAAACTCTGTCTAATAAACTTACATGTAAAATCACTCTTAATTTAAAAAATATGCAAATATTGGAATTGAATGCATATTACGAAAATATTGTATGATAATAAAAAATGTTTAACGTATGACTACCGACGCTCTCATTATCAGTATAAAATAACAAATGCTACCGTGATCGTTTTTACAAGAACAGCTGCATATTAAATATCACGAATGATGACGTAAGTTTAAAAGAATGTATAAAAAGAATGTTAATACATGCAATATCGTTATCGATTATCTTCGATGAGTTAATTAAACCAAATCGAATGCATTTTGTATGGCGTTCCAAATAACGTAACAACTTAGCTAATAGTTAATTAACCATTATTATAACAATTATTATAATATTAATCTCTGATGTTAAGCAGCTTAGGTATGAATTCTGCACGATGTTTATGTAACGCGGATATTTGTTATATATCGTTCATTCAAAGTGTACACCGTGCATGTGTGCATAAGTTCGTGCATGTGTGTGTGTGTGTGTGTGTGTGTATGTAAATCATTATATTTATTACATACATTTATAAAGTTCTTACAAAAAATATCGAAATAACTTTACGTGTTAATAGCTTGTTTCGTTATGCAGATTACCAAATATCTTTGCTACACTCTGGTTTGCATGTGCCTACTGAAGGTGGCAAATACTGAAATTTCCCGAGACAAGGTAAAAATACATATTTCAATGAATAGCTTTATCGTTTATTTACAACAGAGCGTTTCGTGAATGCGTGTTAAATTAATTGCAGAACTATCTTTAGAATTAATTGTCTGTTAAATTATCTGCAAATTTATAAACTGTTACAATATCTATTTGTTAAAATTATATATATATATATAGATCGAATAGATCAATACTATAAAAGATTTTGTTTTACGTAGATAGATTTATAGTAAGAGAATTATAATTTGCACAAATTTAATATCAAACTTTAATATCAAACAATTAAATATCAATCTTTCACACAGTTTGAAAAAATAAAAATAATTCTAATGGAGGGGAAATGGGCGGGTAGAATTCACTTTTACAGTTCGAACGGCAGCTTCTAAACGCCCTAAACGCAGAGAAAACAATCAAGTCAAAGAGACCATTTTGTAATGCTTTCACGGGTAAGAAATTTTTACCTCTACTATAGCAATCAACAATACTCTCCACAAATTAAAATATTCTTTGAAAACTAAAACTATTTTATTCGTAAAAACGTTTAGATTTTATATCTGGAATAAATCACAAGATAGCATATTTAAAAATTTCGATATTCTACAAAAAAATATAATTAATTTTAATAAATATTTAATTCAATATACTGTCAACTAAACATTTACTTATATTAGAGTAAATAATTATTTGTTATTTAATAAAAAGGATTATTTAAATACCAAAGTATTAAAAGTTAAATACCAAAAATTTTTGTATTAAATATAAATATCTCTTTATACTTGATAAATATTTACATGGCAGTATTTAACTAAATATTTATTAACATTGATTATATTTTTCTCAGTGTAGTAATCAATAAATTACTTTTATTGATACCTCGTAGGATGCGGTAGATTTGTTTCGGAAGAAAGAAGAATGAAGAAGAAAGGACTTTCCACTCTGCGAGATTTGTCGGACTTTAAAGTGACGAATAACAACGTTCAGCTTCCGGTTTCTCTGTACAGGGCATTACTAGATGCTGCTAAGCAAAATGTTTGGAAAGTGCAGATGGATCGTGGGGCATATGATTATCGATTACAACAAATACCGCGGATTTATCTTTCGGGTCAAATGCCTGTACGTAACACGATGAAAAGCTAATTTTAACGGACACAACTTGATGCATAGACGCCACCAGAATTTGTAACAGACAGAATTATATTTTATTTTCTTGCTTCTAAATTATGAAATTTATTTATAATACTAATTAAATATTTTATTATATAAGAAATTATGTTGTAAAATTATCTATATATTATTTTAACTGAAGCTTAGTTCTTCTTCCGCGACACGACGCAGCCTTATTTATTTGTAGCTATTTTACGGTGTGCATGTCTTAATACAAATTTTACTTATTTTTTCGTCTTATCATAATTAAAGAAATATAAATTTAATTAAGCAAATTGTAAAATAACATTTTATTTTATGTACAACTTCCAAAAATTTTACTGCTGCGAATGTATTATTCACGAAAAAAGCATATAAAAATGTAATCAGTATAATATTGATGTTAGCTAGAACTAAATTAGAAAATTTTATTTGCAGGAACATTTTGACTTTAGTTATGCATTTAGTTACATGTACCTGATCCTTCCAATAACGTCTTAATTAATTTGCTATTTTAAAATATATAATATTAAGCATACATATATTTTTTAAACGACTGTTATATCGGATCTGAATTGTATTCAATAAATTCTATAACATCTGTTATCTAGTTAATTAATGTACAAAAAGAGGACTTTATTGAGACTTTCTTGTTTTTTTATAATAAATCACGAAACAATACACACACACGCTAATCTATTTAACAAAAGTATGAACAATATTTTTAAGAGCATATAGCAAATATAGACTTTTGATAATGCTGCACTTGTGCATTTACCTTAAATAGTCTAGAGATAAATGATAAGTTTTATTAGCACACTTCCATTCCACATGTATTTCGTATTTCCTGAATATCGTTGAGACGATATTGATAATGGTTTTGATAGAATTACACGCCTGGGAATACTCAATCCAACGCATTCTAGATTATCCGCTACTCTTGGTCTACCCCAGAAATCTTCTGTACAAAGTGTGGCCGGATCCCAAATTCGAGATCGTCGATCCTCACGTAGGCCTCTCAAAGAATGATCTAATACCTACCAAGTCATATTATACTGATAGACTAATAATTATTTACATATAAATAAATATTTCGCATTTAACAGCGTAGAACAGGAAAGATATTAATTATCTAATTGGTAAAACAGATTTAATAACAAATAGAAAGTTATCTCTAATATTAATAGAAAGCTAACTCTATTACTTCTTTACATAAGATAATGATATTGTTGAATATATTTTTTATTATTATATAAATTATAAATAAAAAGTAATAAGTGGAAAACACGCGCGTAATTATAAAAATAAACTTAATTAACGTTTATTTATTAATTAATTTTACGTTTCTTTGCTTTATTAATCTAAAATAATAAACTTAACTTCTATAGTTCTATGTAATAAACATTCTTCCAATTTAAATCACAGATAATAGGTATGTCAAATTATGCTAAGATGAGAAAAAATATATATTTATTCAAAAGATTTAAATTATTTGATATTTTTTAACCGATGATATATATACATATATATATATTTATCTAAAAATAAAGTAAGAAAATAAACCCAAGCCTGATATTGATTTGATCTATCCTTTATAATGGAATGGAAGTAGTATAGGATCATATTTATATGTAGTCACGACTTTCTAACTTTGTTTAAAATTATTCGATCACATTAAAAAGGTTCTTATTCTGTTTCGAAAACATCTCGAGGATATTTTTGATGAGAATGCGGTATATTCCGGCACGATATATTTTTCTTTTTCTTAGATAAAAGGCACCGCTCGCGGGCCTTTTTCTGTACTTTGTAATTATATTGCAATTACATAATGTGAGGCCTCCCTTGTAAAATTTTATTTTATTCAAGAGTTATTAATTTATCCCTCGGAATCATTCATTTCTGCTTCGAGCATTGTGTCTATATGCGTACCTCGAGGCGGATCCTGTGAGGAAACGGCCATGTGAGAACAGAATCATAACGGCCGCGAGTCAATCCGACGGCGATGAAGACCGTGCCATCGGGAAAATATTTTGGAGTGATTTTCAGATACATGGCGTAACCACTACGACCCGCATAGAAGGTAGGGCTGCGCATCGAACGACCTGTTTGCCAGCTCGCCAACATTACATTGAAGTTCCTCACTGTCCAGTAATAAGTGAATGCATTCGTCGATTCTGGAATAACAATAATTTGTTAATTTAGAATTTTTATCTTTAACTCATAATCATCATCTTCTTCCGTTAATGTATTATATTTTTGCATTAATTTTTTGTGACATTTAGATAAAGAAACGTATAGAGATATATTTTTGTGATTTATTATCAGATATTGTATTCTTTGATATAACAATAATAAAGTTATCTAGATCTAAAGTTTTTCCTTATGTCACGTAGGAGAGTTCTATATAATTATAAAGCTAATTGAAGAATCGATATAATTATTAGGTGGAGACAAGTTTCGGTAGTGTTCAAGTAAGTTTAGGACAATAAAATCTCATGTTTCATTTAATTGAAGTGTATGTAAATCCTCAAATTACGCAAATAAAATTTGACCGTTAATCCTCCAATTACGTGCATCAACATTCATGTAATTTGAAGAGTAATGATTAATATTTTTTATACGAAATATAATGTAATGTCAAATTAAAAATTATTACTTTGTTAAAAACATCGACTATTTTTAATATTAAGTATTCGCTCAATAAACTTGATGTAAAAATTTTATTGAGAAAGATCACTGTCTAGATATATTAAAGATTAAATTGACAATTAGTTTGAAATATTTTATTTAAATAATTACTTATATAAGTAAAAACTGATTAATTTACGCGGCTCTCATAATATTTAGTAAATATTTTAATAATAACTTAATTAGAATATCTTAATAATTAAATTTTGTTAATGCAATGTAACTAACGTTTAATAGCAATGGCGTTATAAGTTTTATTCTGGTTTCTCAACGTATTACGCTTTTACTATTCAAATGCGACAGAGTTAATCATATACTGCAACTCGAAATAAATCTCACAAGTACTTCGTCGTTGCACTATTCATTCCGTTTGAATCATGTTTATCCCGACTAAGCTTCAGCTTTGTCGTCCTATGGACAAGGCAAACTCTCACCTTCTCTTCCCCTCAGAACGTAAAATCCATTTACATAAAACCATGGATCTCTTACATACAAATGCTTAGTTTAGGCTCTGAAGTACAATGCGTATTATGCAAGAAGTGCAAGACTCCTACATGCGACATCCGCGTTATATTTTGGGTCTCATTATTCTAGAATAGAATTCCATACATACGTGATAAAATACATACACAAAGCTGTCACAATGTTTTGTAAAGCTTTAGCTTTTTGAAAATGGATTATATTACATTACCATTCAAGTTGTAAGCAACTGAAAATAAAGCTATTTAATTTTTCATATCAAGCTTTGTAATCAAGTTGTGCAAAAATTATTCATTTATTCAAAATTCAAATTATATTTTCGATTTTTATTTAATTATTTAATAGCAATTATTAAAAATTGCACAAATGATGTTTACTTGAAATTAAAATTTTAGATAGAAATTCATTCAGAATATTATATTCTAGACATAAATATTATTTCATACAGAATTGATATATACAATTAATAATTAATATAAAACTATCAAAATAGAAGTTTTAATTAATTATTATAGTTAATTAAAATTTAATAACATTTATGGTTGTTAAGTTGTAGTTGTTACAAGATTGTTCTTTCGTCAACATAAGTTTACTAATTTCATACATGCAAGATAGGCCATGGTATAGTGTAGCAGAGGCACTTCCAAAGTTTTGAGAACTTGAAATCTTCCAGTTGCTAAAGAACGTTGTGTTTATAGTTACTACTCTGTGTTTAGTTAAGAGCATAAAGTTAACTTTTAGCCTATACTACTATATGTATTAATAACTACATTTCCCTATGTTAAACATTATTTTAAAAATTTATATATATTACGAAAATATCACATAATCCAAATAGTATATATCTAGGTCACTGTATAATAATTACACTACCGTTTAATATTGATAAGATTTGCATAGTATTGTTAAATTTATCGATCTCATCTTGTCTCGAGGATAAATAATCATCAAATATTCCATCATAAAGATTAGCGTTTCGCACACTTTTCAAGTAATTCGGTTGTTGCTCCAAAATGCTGTAAAGTAACCACTTGATATCTGCAAATTCCTTACTTAACTTTTCCTCCAGACTCACAAATTTTTCGTCCATCGTCTCTGAAAGCATTATATTTTCATCAACGACAATTATAACTTTCTCTACGTACGTGTTTACAAAGATATAATTATTTTCGTTCCAGTAAAAAAATTTAATCGATTTCTATAAGATTTAATTTTAGCGAATGGAGATCATTATCTTTATATAAATTTAAAGTTGAGATTCAGCGCGCCAAAAGTCAGAGATTCTCCGCGTATAGTACTTATTATCATTCACAATAATTTTTGTGACATTCTCTTTATTGTATGAGAAAATCTCATCAATAATTGAGCTAAATAAAGGATGTAAAACTTTTATTAAGACATCTATTACATATCAGTATATTTCAATATCTGGAGACACGGTATAAGTGTCTCGGCGCTAAGCCAGGCGCACCCGACATTGCCGTGGCTACTTTACGCGAATCTGAGAATTTTGGGGGATTTCATGATCACATAAAGGTCCTTTTTCAGCATATAATTCAAACTTTAACCATATATATATATATATATATAT